ACCTGCGCCTCTCGGATGAGCACGCTCCATGCTTCGATGTCAAACGGGTTGTCCTCAAGTTTTCGCTCTGCTTTCTTCACTTTCTCTGGAACGTACTCCTGTGCCTGATGCACATGCACACGCGCACACACACACACATACGTACGGTTAAATTGGATGATTGCCTGGGTAGGCTGATAAGACAGTGGAGTAATCACACAGGTCAAACATTTATACTGTAATATATGAGAAGACTAACAAGTAATACATTCCATATTTTGAGTAAATAACTGTTGAGGAATTATCCAATCCTATAAACGAATGGTCCAATCACCTGACCGGTTGTGTTTAAAATTATCAATTCTAAACCAATCTTACCTTAAAAGAACTTTCATAAAGCCGCGAAGAATGCAAAATGGCAATTGAAATTCAAACACTCTAAAAAGAACAAAAATGGCAGAACCTACTTTGTCATGAAGCAAACGCTTGCTGTAAACAGAAACGTATTTCGCAAACTTCGGTACTCATACCAGTTAAAATGACTACAGAAGACAACTCCATTCATTGCCATTGTTAGAAGCTTCAAAGTGTAAAAGCATAAAACCTCACAGCTGTGTAATCAGTCATTCAAAAAGTTTGTGTTTCTCAAATATTTAACTATCACATAATCCAACCACATGAAAAAATAAGATATTTGCACGAGGGGAAAATATTTTCATACTATATTGGAAACAAGTTTTGCTGTCTGGATATCCTGTCCGCCTGGCTGGATTCCCAACTGACTGGATTCTCGGCCCCAGTGCACGATGATGATGGCTCACTTACAATTTAACAATCTTTGAAATAGCGTATTCAACCAGACCATGCGTTAATTGTGTTTTAACCGACCGTCTGTGTTGCTTTATATAGTTTCCAAATTTTGCTAAACCGTTTGATTTAGTGTGATGCTCTGTCTCTCTGTATCCCCTGGTATATCTGTGTTAATTCCCTCTACTTCAGGTCTGTATATATCTGCGGTTGTTTCCTCTACCTGATGATTGCTTGTGTTGCAATCGAAACGTCGTGTATTATGTCATTTTATTTTTTTCTTATTTCTACGTGACTTTACCGAAAAAACAAAGATTGAGAGTGAAATGGCATTAATCGGAGGACAAAGAAAGCAAAATCTAAAACAGAGTGAGGGAAAACGGGACAGGGAAGAGGTTGAGACGGCAAAGAAATGTGGAAATAAGGTGAGCAAGGGTGAGGTGGGAGAAACAGGGAGTGAGGTAGTGGGAAAGGAAGAGGGTGAGGCAGAGGAAGGAGAGATAGTGAGGGAGGGCGAGGTAGCAGAGGGAAGAGAGAAAGAGACAAAATGGGAAATTGAGATAAATTGAGATACACAGTACAAAGGCAAGAAAAATGTGGAGGCAGGGCTCTACATAAGATAACAAAAAGGCTTTGCTGGCTGGAACAGACGATCATGTGAAAAGGATGTGTATTCAACTGTCACAGTTAGCAAGATTCAAACGTATACTGTGTCAGGTTTTTCTTTGATAACTTTCGTGGTTCAATGTCGAAGGTGCCGTGATGAACAAAAGCCTAACCAGCATACAGTGGCTGGGTCGACTCGAGGGGGAGCGTCTGCTGCCCGGTGTTGCCGAAAGCCACCCCGCGGTGGACAGGACAATAAAGCAGGAGCAGAGTCTGAGCTCTTGCAGTAGAGCAAAGGTGGCTAGCGACAAAAAGGACAGGGGCGTGGAGAGCTGTGTTTTCACCGAGGCCACCGATGCTGCCACTGCCAACAGCAAAAAACAACAAGACAATAAAAAGGTGGGGTCATGATTTATAGTAGAATTTAACAAGTCAAAGTTATTGTTTGAATGCATGTGCTGTTCATGTCATGACATCCATGAATCGACCATTGCCATATGTTTATGTTTGATATCAAAATCTATATATATAAAAGGGAAATTTGGGAATATGTGTGTCCGTTTGAAATGTTTAGCATACTTCCCAACATGCAACAAACTTGAAATTTGGCATGTGGGTAGCTTCCAGACTGTACACAATGCAAAAAATATCAAAATAGACTTTTGTATTTGGGGGGGGGGGGGGCGCAAAAATGGATATATTTTGCACGGCAAGTGAGCGGTGATGTCACCATGCATGCGGTAGCGTGACGCAGTGTGCCTGCTGACGTCACGCACCCCCACCCTCCGCGTAGGCCGTGTATTAATCCAAGACAAGAATCCAAGTCCCGGGCGAAGCCGGGTAGTAAAGCTAGTATTAAATATATGGGAGTTTACCAAGTTGCTTAGCTGATTCTCTAATCAGGGAAATGACCCACCTCCACTGACATGCTTTTTTCAAGTTACATTTTAGAAATGAATGCACTGATTGGCACGCGCAAACATTCAAAACTCGTGGCGCTTTTTTTGTAGTTTTCAACTTACTTTCAACTCAAAGTCAATCATTGCTATCAGACATTTCTATTGCTAAAGATTATTATGAAATATGAGTGCACATTTACCTGGTTTGAAATTATTGATATTATTACTGAAATGTGCGTTTTGGGTTTTCTTGTTTCCTTCCCCCCTCTCCCTCCCGGTGTTGGGTTGATCAGGATAACCACTCGAACCTGGAGCGGCCGCTCTTCTCTTACATGGCCATGATCCAGTTTGCGATCAACAGCAGCAGCAATGGGCGAATGAGTCTGCGTGAGATCTATGCCTGGATTGCACACCGCTTCCCGTACTTCAGACATTCAGCACGGCCCGGATGGAGGGTAACGCTCGCTTTGTGATGTTCGGGTAAATTAAATAAATGAAAATGGGTACCACGGTGGTGAGATGTTAATTACCTCGCCTGGTATACAGGAGTACGTGGGTTCAATCCTGACCATGACGCCTGTATATTTGGAGTTCGCATGTCTCTTTCCCCATAGTCGCGTGGATTTTTTCCCGGGTCCTCTGGTTTTTCCCTCCACATTTATAAACAATGTACTTTTAGAGTATTTGGATGCAATACATTTCCACATGATAGCCACTTCGTTGAGCTATCATTTGTGGCCTGGTCGATTCTGAAATAAGCTATATAGCTCAGCGGGCCTTACCTGGTACAATAAAAATAGTTTTTAGCTTAATTTTGCAGGTCAAGTTTTGTTTTTGTAGTTTAAGTGTTTGCCTTTACTCACTGTTTTTCCCCTGTCACCTGCTCTGCCCACAGAATTCAATCCGACACAACCTGTCGCTGCACACCATGTTTGTGCGCGAGACAGTGCCAGGAAGCAAGGAGTCCTTCTGGACTGTGTCCAATGAGAGTACGCACAGGCGGCACGCTTCGATTAGAGTAAGACAGATGCTTGGCTTTGTCCAAACCGCACGTAACCTGTTTTATTCCCCTTTTACACTAGCACATCCAAGCCGAGCCAACATGGGACCCTCAAAACTATGGGTGATTTTTTTCCCCACTGGTTATTTGTCACGCCATGAACCAAACCGTGCTACGCTGGCCTCACAAGACATTTGAATCTTGCTGGGAGCCAAGCAGAGCCAGGGCCAGGATTAATTATGCATTTATTGCATCTCGCATCATTACATAAAGAATATTGATAAGCCATTCGTTCACAGCCTTGGGGTGCTGAAAGAGTGTGCGTGTGAGAGTGTGAACGTGTAGAAATGTGAGCGTTTGTGTGCCGCTATATTGTAGCCAAACTCTGGCCACACTTCACTCGATGCAACCCCTGCTTGGAATAGACGATTGATGTGTGGCACACTTGTTATTTTCCTTCTCGTGTAATGTTTTATCTTGGGTTGCATTTAGATGTTTGACATTTCTGCTTATATCCCCTGGTTCTAAGTGAATGAATAATCGAGCCACATGGCTCCCATGTGTTGCAGGATACATCGCAAGCGAACCACAGTGCACTCATAGGTATGCCAATTGTTACCTCGCCTCTCGTACACCATTTCTTCAACGGTTTCTTAACTTTCGATTTAAAGCTTTCGTGACTGCAGGGATTCATCTTCTTGGTTCTTTCGGTAAAGTCACGTAGAAGGGAAATAATAAAAATAACACGTAATAGAATTTAATTCTCACGACGTTTCGGCCACAACACAGAGGACGGCTGCTTGTGTTGTGGCCGAAACGTCGTGAGAATTTTATTCTATTATGTTTTATTTTTCTTATTTCCCTTCTACGTGACTTTACCGAAAGAACCAAGAAGAGGTTTCTTAACTATTTCTTTCAATTGATCATGCATTGATCCCTTAGAAGAGGCTGTCTGTTGTTTGTGCTCATTCATGATCAGAATATGTATTCATACTGGAGGAATCCCATGAGCTATTAAGCTCATTTCCACAGATGTCCAGTAGGGGCAAGGGGTAAGAACGTTACAACAACAAACAGTACAAAAACACGATAGTAGCGCAAAGTACAAGAAAGGTAAATGAATCACCCAAACATAAACAAATGCAACTAAACCATCCCCATCCTACCAGGCAAAGCCCACTGAGGTATGAACTTATTTTTCAGAAGCAACCTGGCCACAAATAATAGCTCAACAAAGTGGCCCATCATTTGGACATTTAGAGCACCAATATAATCTATGTAATCTCATTCATGTTTCTAAATGTGGAGGGAAAAACCGGAGGACCCGGAGAAAAATCCACGTGACCACAGGGAGAACATGCAAACTCCAAATTTACAGGCGTTAGGGTCGGGATCGAACCCCCGACCCCCAGCATACCAGGCGAGGATGATATCATCTTGCCACCATGGTGCCCCTTTAATTGATAAAGGCTCCCATGGTGGGTTATAATACACGATGCTGGCCTTGTCCGTACAACCTCTGTGCTCACGTGCAGTGGATCTGTTGTGTGTCTGTGCGTGCGTATGGAATCCCAGCACCATCGTCAGCTCGACGGGTCCAGCCTCTGTTGCCTCGCCCACCCGTGCCACAGCCCATCAGCCTCCTGCTGACGCCTTCCTCATTGCACTTTATTCAGCCCACGCTTGTTGTTGCTGCTGCCATAAAGCAGGAGCAGCAGGTTGCAACGGTGTTAGACCGTGCCGTGAAGGCTAAACCCATGTCCACAGCGCCAGCAAAAATGACGAAGCAGCAGGAGGAGCAACAGCCTTCCTCATTGCACTTTATTCAGCCCACGCTTGTTGCTGCTGCCATAAAGCAGGAGCAGCAGGTTGCAACGGTGTTAGACCGTGCCGTGAAGGCTAAACCCATGTCCACAGCGCCAGCAAAAATGACGAAGCAGCAGGAGGAGCAACAGCAGCCGCAGATTGTAATGCAACAGCAAATGGTGGCACAGATACTGCAGCCACGGCAGATACAGCAGCGGCATCAGCAACCGGTGAAGGAGGAGCAGCAGGAAACGGTGCATAAGTGGATTGTACGGGATGAGAGTGTGCTGCAAGTTGTGCAGCAAGAGCAACAAGTGAAGGAGCATTTGGTGCGACAGCCGCAGAATGTGCGACAACTACAAATGACGAAGGAGGAGGACGAGAAGCCGACGCTACAGAGGGTGCACGAGTGCCTGGCCTCCAGCACGTCAGCCCGGTCGACGCAAGGCTTAACAGCTACGGTGAGAGGCATCCCTTCGAAATACAGCTGGTCTCCGACTTACGATGGTCCGACTTACGATATTTCGACCTTACGATGGCGATAGCGATATGACAAAATTGTCAAATATTTTTAATTTCGCGCGGCAGGCAAACGCAGCAGCGTACGAGGTACGATACTGTAACTTTATCATTGCCATCCTCCTCTTCCGACAACTAAGTTAATGTAGCCATCAACAACCTAGCATCGTTCAAGTATGCAGACGACGGACAGAATCTTGGTGAGTACAGTAGAATATGATATGTTACGATACGTTCAATGCATGTACGATAAATAGCTTTAGCGATTTCATTTTAGGGTTACCACGATACGATACATACGTTCAATGCATGTTAAAAGTTTTTTATAGCAGATAGGATTGTTTCCTGAAAAAACTTTCAATGAAATTGCAATTCATATAGGTAGGCTAAGAATTTACCTTGTTTTTTACTTTACATTTTACTGTGCAATACATTATTGTAATTAATAAATACATACACTATATAGTTTATACAGTACGGTACTGTAAATTGCTCTGTTTTGCTAAATTATCAACATTCTTTAAGACTCCTGGGTAGGTAAGGCCATTTTCGACTTACGATATTTTCGACTTACGATGGGGTCGTCGTAACGCATCTCCGTCGTAAGTCGGGGACTACCTGTGTGCTTTGACATCTTCATCACCTACATTGTCTTCATCACCACTGCCGTCGTGATCTATACCGCCACTGTTGTCGTGACAATAGCCTCATGAGTGTGTGGGATTGTAGAGTCACTGGCATGGGTGATTTTTTTCACTTTGTGAGCTTGTATGTGCGTACGTACGTTGAGCTTGTTCCGCACCGTACAAAGCCAACCGTGCTGATCGGAGGTGCGGGGGAAGGTCAACAAACTAAACACAATGAGCAATTTCGAAGGGAATTAGTTTTCAGTCCGGTAGTGTGATTGTGTATAATGATAGACTTCGGGAATCCGTGCGGTGACGTTAAGTTATTTCCCCTGTATTTTTTTAAAATGCGTTTTCCTTTTATCCACAGTTGCCGGCGTGCACCTGGCAACAGGGCGAAGTGGTCAGTAAAGGCGAGAGTCTTGCCTTTACTCCAAAGAAGCGAGCGCTCTACCGTACCCCAAAGTGCAGGCGGAAGCCGGGTCACTGGCGCAAGCAGAGCCTTGTGCACCAGCATCTTACACCCGCGTCAGAGTTAATGTTTATGGAGGAGTCTGTGGTCAAAGATTCCTCTGGAAGCGACTGGGGAGGTAAAAATTGGCTGCGCGACCAGCCTCTTGTATGTGTGTGTGTATGTGTAACTTCTTTCGCGCCGCACGTAGCCAAGCGCGTTAATGGGGAGGTGTCGATGCTTAGCAACGCAGCTACGGATCAAACACATTACATGCTCAACTATAATCCTGTCCCAAATCCACAGCCACTCTTAGTCACCAAAGACTAGCTAGTATCTGCAGATTGTGAATTGAGCGCAGTAACCTCGTCACAATCCGGCAGGATCTATCTTAATAATTATCCTGAGTTGTAATCCATTGCCGAGCCAAAATTTTAGTTTTATCCACAATCCAAACCTCAACCATCATTCCTTAACCTAAACCCAAACATCTCTAACATTCCAACCCAAACCTTAGGTCATACTCTCTACCCTCAACCAAAGCTTAATCTTAAACCCAAACATAATGTTCAACAATCTTTCGCCTAACTTTTACTTAAACGATATGTTTGACGCGCGTAACATTTTGCTTTCATATATCGATTGTATAAAAATTGTTTTCAGATATTAATTGTAGAATGGTAATCTTACATGTATGAATTGTATCAAAATTAGCTTTCAAATACTATACACGACACTTTACACTACACTACACTATTATACACGACACTACTATACACTACGCTACTATACACTACACTATACACTACACTACTCTATACACTACACTACTCTATATACTACACTACTATACACTACACTACTATACACTACACTACTATACACTACACAATACACTACACTACTATACACTACACTACTATATACTACACACTACACTACTATATACTACACACTACACTACTATACACTACACAATGCACCACACTACTATACACTACACTATACACTACACACTGAGCTCTATGGTGGTCTTTAAGAGGGGTTCTACTGTATTCAATTTAATGTTCACATGGTCTCCTGTGAGCATAAGGATTACCGTTCAAGAAGGCACGTCCGACTGATTGCGCCATCTCCTCTCGCGTGCAGACCCTGATGGACAACAAGCCGCGGACTGCGCAGACTTGGCGCTGTTTGCCACCCCGACGCGGAGGTTCAGCCTGACCACTTCAACGCCGTGCCACCTGACGGAGCCACCCACGTGCCTACTCTCCCCGTGGAGCCCCCCTTTCGCTCCGCCACCGCTGCCATTCTCCTCCTCGCCGTTTAGCCCAGGCACCGCCGCGATGGCCTACCACCACTCCCCTTGCACCCCGCACCGGCTGAGAGGCGTCACACCAAGCTCGTGGACGATGCGCGCAAGGGGGGACCGCGTGCCCAGAGTCAGTTTGTCATTCACCCCGATAAAAGCCGGTTGCGTTGCAGAGAGAAAAACGACCTCTGCCGCTGCACCATCAGTGCCGTTGGATATAGTGTTGGTTAAGGTGGAGGACGACGACGCCGACGTGGGGAACGACAGCGAAGGGATTGGCGGCTTCGCGTTGGCAGATGCGGACGCCGCAGCGGAGGTGGCGGCGATGGTGCCCGAGCACAGCGGTGCAGGGGGAGCCGGGACGAGCACCTGTGTGGGCAGTGGTGGGGGGGAACCGGCGGCATTGGGTGTGGCGGAGGCTGCGGAGGAGGCCAGCCGTGGTGTGGATGGAGCGAGCTGGACATGTGGCGAGGACAGCTTTGAGAAGATTCTGCATGAACTGAGCCTGCCCCAGCTGGAGGAGAACTGGACCGATTCAATGTTGGACATGAATAGTGTAAACTGGACGCTGCTCGACACGCTGCACGCAGGCGTGCCGGGCTTCTAGGCGGCGGCGCAGTTTGTACTTTTCAATAATCGTTGGGCTTTCATTACCGTACACGATTTTAGATCTGCGGCGACTCGCCTGTCCTGGCACAGTGTTCGCGTCGTCGCCCCACAAACCCGGTGAGTTGAGTTTAGTTCCTGGAAATGGTTAGCGTCATTTGGTGAGCAGTACATGAACTGGTCCCGTATAATCAACTCGCCATGATCGGCATGGTGAAGTATGGTTAAGCAATCCATATGACACAACACAGCATGGGGATGCCTTCAACCAGCAGTGAATTGCCAAAGGGCGGTGTACATTCATCGGGCAGTTTTTAACGGCAACTAAGCACGCATGCCAACTCGAATTTCTGTATTTGATAGTACTTTTTCCCCATTCAAAATTATTTATAAAGCTTTTAAACCGCAACACATTGGGGATGAAGAAAACCATTGCACGCCCCTTGTTTTGAATTGGGTGGCTTGTATTCATATTCTCAGATCTTTCGGTAAAGTCACGTTGAAGGGAAACAACTAAATAATAAAATATATATAAAAAAATAAAAATTCTCACGACGTTTCGACCATAACACAAACGGTCGTCTTCAGGTGTTATGGTCGAAACGTCGTGAGAATTTTTATTGTTTTATATATATTTTATTATTTTGTTGTTTCCCTTCAACGTGACTTTACCCAAAGAACTAAGAATATGAATTACTGCAGTCACGAAAGCTTTAAATCTAAATTTAAATGGGTGGCTTGTGTTTAACTTGTCGAGGCTGACCAATTCCACCGATGCAAATTCTCCACCTGGTCAAGGAAACCACGTCTTAAGTACTGTAGGCTTGTGTGCAGCTTGGTCAAGGGTTAAATTATTTGGTATTTACCGCGAATCAGTTTTAGTCAATTGGATAACTACTTGGTTGTGAGAGTGTTTTTATTTAAACACATATTTAGGTTTAAAGAGTTAATATATTCCCCCGCTCTATTTGTGTGTCTGTTTCGTGGCTTCATTAAGATAATCCAGTGTAATTAAAATTCGGTTATGAGGTTGTGTTGCTGTTCAAGACTCATCCTAGAGAAAACCCGGGCAAAATTGATCAGTCGCTAAGCCGCTTAGCCTTATGAGCAGGCCATGGTGTCCGCCTTACACAGTTACCATGTCTTGAGGCACGATTCCATGCTTTGTTTTTCGGGATCCCATTGTCCTGCCTGACCTGGCACAACCAGGTGGCACGCTGAGTTCGGTGGTACCATTTTATTATTTTCTCGGCCGCACGAGGCTGCTGGCCTCGGCGTCCGGGTTTTGGGTCTGTCCTGGCCCGGGTGCTTTTCCCTGGCTGCCGGCATCTATTGTCCCCGTGCAGCCCGTGCGCTGCCAGCACCACCGCTGCCCAGTTGTGGTCGGCGTGAATTGGGCGCGGCCCAACCGTCTATGGATCCGGACTTCCACTACCTCCGTGCAGGGCAAGTGGCGTCCGGGCTTGGAGTCCGTCCTGGCCATGATCACTCTGGCTGTCCGGATGCTTTTCCCCAACTGGCTATAGTCACTTTTTAGGCATAAGCAATTTCGAAATAACACTTAGTACGCAGGAACAAAAATTGTGTTACATAGTGCTATCGGAACTTTTGTCCTCCATTCTCATTCCATCCCATGGGTTCGTGCTTACCGGCAATTTCAACTGCCCGGGAACGACCCAATCAACCATTGACTTGCCAACACTCCCACTCAACCATTGACTTGCCAACACTCCCACTCTCCTCGGGAATCTCAATCACCGATTCATTCGTTCCGTTCTCCGACCATCTGAGATTTCTCGGCGTCACTCTGGATCCCACACTCTCCTTTGACACCCATGTCAACCTCGTACTCAAGTCCTGCAACTACCACCTCGGGGCCCTCCGCCATCTTCGTCCGCTCATCACCTCCAACATCGCGAATACTCTCGCCTGCAGCATCGTTGGGTCGTGGCTTGACTCTTGTAACTCAGTCCTCGTCCGGTCCACTCTAAGCAACCAAAATAAGCTGCAACGCCTCCAAAATCACATTGCCCGAGTTGTCCACGGCCCCCGCAACCCTCGTCCTCACTCCATGTCCATCCTTCGTGCCCTTCATTGCCTGCCCATTTCGACCAAATTTACCTTCAAGATCGCTTGCCTCTGCTACCGCGCCCTCTAATCCAGCACTTGCGCACAAACTGCTTTCATTGCTGCAGCTTCTCGGCTGAAGTCCCCTTGGATGCATTCCGTTCCTTGGCTGCCATTTGATTATTTTTCTTCACCGTCCGTAATCCCTGTTCGTGATGTGTCCTGCGTTATCATGTTACAGATTGAATTTCCTTTAAACATCTTCAATATACTTGGGTCTCAATTGGTGATCAATAAACAATAATGGGTACACTATATTTGTGTGTTTTTTTTTGGTCATTATTTTCTTGTGCACTCTCTACGACGGTTCACGTTGTTGCTGTTGGCTTGCATGCAACGTTTTGATGAATGTGAATTTCCCATTTGTGAGGAATTCTTTTAATTCTCAAAAATATTGGGTAAATTGGTGTCAAAAAAACGTGCAGCACAAAAATTGTGGTAGCCTTGGAGTGACAAGTCTGTAAAGTGTCCAACATGAAGTTGAAGCTCGTTGGGTGATAAAAACAAATTTGTGTGAAAATGTTTAAAGCGTCAGCAACACCGCCATCTGTCAAAGCACTATCTCGTGCAGTGGTTCTTAACCTTTACTGGTTAAGTTGACGCCGAGGAGGGGGGAAGAGGCGCCTCGCCCCCCACCCATGTGGAGTGATGTCACCCGCTAATTATTATGAATGGAGGGGGGTGTCCATTTGGAGGACGTCACATCTAGATTTGAAGCTTTCGTGACTGCAAGGATCCATACTCTTTGGTTCTATTGGGTAAAGTCACGTAGGTAAAAAAAACTCTCACGGTGGTGCTAATGTATTTTTGATGCTATTTGCGAGCTTGCACAGCTTTACATTGTATGCTAATTCCTTTGTCAAGGCGTCTTTTCTGTTTACCCACTCACAGCTTAAAGGAGGCGACCTGCGCTTGACTTTTTCACTCCAACGCTGTCCTCTGGACAGGTTGGTCCCTTCACCTGATGAAGGCCACTTGTGTTGTGGCCGAAACGTGATTTTTTTTTACCTACGTGACTTTACCGAATAGAACCAAAGAGTAAGGACGTCACCTGTTCATGATTATTAATGTGGGGGCTGTTCGATGTGGAGTGACGTCACCTGCTCATGATTATTAATGAGGGGGTGCTCCACGTGGAGTGACGTCCCCACTCATGATTATTAATGAGAGGGGGTGGGGGGTCCATGTGGAGGACGTAACCAGTTAATGATTATTAATGAGGGGGGCTGGCCGACGTGGAGTGACGTCACGCGCGGGACGCACAGACATTCTTGGCTCATAGTAGTAAATAAATACATCGGTTTGATGCACCAAACTAGTTATACTTCTTATTCTTAGTTCTTTCGGTAAAGTCACGTTGAAGGGAAACAATAAAATAATAAAATATATATAACAATGAAAATTCTCACGACGTTTCGACCATAACACAAACGGTCGTCATCAGGTGTGTCGGTTAAATAAATACACCGTTTAAAAATAAATAAATTTATGCAAACCGACACACCTGATGACGACCGTTTGTGTTATGGTCGAAACGTGAGAATTTTTATTGTTATATATATATTTTATTGTTTCCCTTCAACGTGACTTTACCGAAAGAACTAAGAATATGAATTACTGCAGTCACGAAAGCTTTAAATCAAAATGTAGTTATACTTATGTTCCCGTGCTTAATTTGTATTCCGATCATTTGCCTACTGAAGAAATGTGGTCATGTTTTGCACCCCCAGAAAGGGCATCTCGCACCCCTTAGGGGGTGCGTGCACCCCAGGATAAGCACCACTGTTCTAATTGTCTCACCGGGTAGAACTGTCTTACATATATTAGTGCAATATTACTGAAGGGCGATCCATCCTACAGACATCGTACGTTCCCCACCCATCATCATTTCCGTGTTGGCCACATATCTCGACCAGTGACGTGCGGTGAGGTCAATGGCTGGGGAGGCGCTGGCTCGTATTAGAGCCAGATTTACACACTGAGGGGGGCGTGGCCTCACTGCGGGGGCGTGATCTCACTGAAGGGGGCGTGTCTGACACGCCCCCCTCAGTGAGGCAGATGTGATAGCTGCCTCCCCTGGTGCTTTTTCATTGCAGTTTCATGACGAGACCAGCGAGCCTATATATCTGTATACACATACGTGAAATAAGTTACCTGGAGTATGGAAGGCGAGGGCATGAAATGAAGGGGTCTACAAACATTACATTGGTGACACACTGAGATAGTAACAGGCACGCGCTTATTGCCCCTGCACCATCCAGTTACTGAGGGGTTGCGCAATCAGAGGGGAGGCTGAGCTCGTCGCTGCCTCACCTCTCGTCTCTTCCAGTATTTGCAGCAGAGCTCCGCAAATTTGGCGGTTTTGACGATAAAAATGATTGGAATCGTACAGAAATAACATTTATAGCACAGATCAGTGGAAAAATCTTAATATTTATTTTATTTAATTATTCTATTTTTTTTTACTTTTTGTAACAGCTATTTTCATTGGAGTATGACAGGTGAGGCTCTGCCTCCCCTGCCTCCCCTGACCGCACGTCCCTGAACTCGATCCTCGCCAGACACCAATCGCTTCTGGCTGACGATTGAAGTGTCATGCAGGATGTACCGGTGGTGAAAGGGCACAGAGGTTTACTGCGATATCCCCTCGTTATTCACGAACTTGCAGTCTGCGATGTTGGCTGTCCGCGAATCGCATCTGGAACTATACATGCCTGCAATCGAGAGAGAAAGTGATGCGAGATAATGTGATGATAGATTAAGCTTATGTATTTATTTATTTAAGGTAGTGTGTCAAAAAATATAGGTTTTCCTAGGCCAATATCCGCGAAATTTGCTATGCACGAGCATCTCCGGAACGTATCGCTCGCGAATAATGAGGGAATACTGCACTTTGCATGTTATATCAGGCAGTGCACTGCACTCCTTGCGATGAACGTTTTGGTCAACCGTTTATTGAGCATAGTCACGGATTCTGCGTAGATAATATTGAATGAAACCCCAAAATTCCAGTCAGAATGAGCCCGAAGAGCACATTCAATGGCAACGTTTACCCAAGTAAATGAGGAAGAGGCCAAATCATCGTCCTCTTCAATACTCTAATCTAGATTTGAAGTTTTCGTGACTGCAGGGATCCATACTCTTTGGTTCTTTTGGTAAAGTCACGTAGGTATAAAATATATACTTGTAATTCTTTGGGGCAATATTATTGCTGTATGTGATGGGATGGGGGGTTATCCTACAATCTAATAACGTAACTGAATTCTCTTTACGTCTTCATTTAAAAGTAATTAATTTTGTCTCGCCATGAGACAATACTCGGGTTAAGGTAAGTCGTAGCCGATTCATGATTTTCGTCCGCTCGTCATCCATCATTAACTCAACCAAAACTTTTTCGACCAATATTTTCGTCACTTAATTTCATTCACAATTACGTGAGACTATGGGCATGGAAAAGCAGGCCAAATACCTCCTCTGGAAGGGGCTCTGTAGCGAACTCTCAGTCCAGCTAGCCAGGGTTTTACTGTGCAGCTCGAATAACCTTACCGGGTGTGCGTTTTCATTTAAACTACAGTCGTTAATACAGGGTGCTTCAAAAAAATATTAACACTTTCATGGGACTATCTTTTAGATGAATAATACGCTCCAAAGCCCGGAGGCAGCAGCACATTTCTTTTCGATTTAAAGCTTTCGTGACTGCAAGGATTCATCTTCTTTGGTTCTTTCGGTAAAGTCACGTAGAATGAGAATAAAATAATAAATTGATAAAATAAAATAACACAATAATATTCTCACGACGTTTCGGCCACAACACAAGCGTGATGAAGGCCGCTTGTGTTGTGGCCGATACGTCGCGAGAATATTATTGTGTTATTTTATTTTATCAATTTATTATTTTATTCTCATTCTACGTGACTTTACCGAAAGAACCAAAGAAGATGAGCACATTTCTTGTGATATTCTCAGACGTGTTAGAACATTTTTTAAGCACCCTGGGTGTCTCGGCGTATCCACGCTCTTGTGTTTGGTGGGTAGTCCCAACCAAGGCCAACAACACAGTAAGACACTTCTGAAATTCGTGGTCCGCCAGGAAGTGTCTAACTGTGTTGTTGGCTTGACTGGATGTGCTTCACATAATGTTTTTTTCAAGTTTGTTGAATTCTCGTCTCTCATCTTTTTTGTTGCATTTACCTCCGTGATTTGTTCTTGACACCTGATGAAGATCGCTTGCGTTGTGATCGAAACGTCGTGATTGTTTTTTTGTTTTAATATAATTTTATTGTATTTCTACATAAGTGACTTTACCGAAAAAAACCAATGAGTAATTTTATGCAGTCACGAAAGCTTTAATACTTTATTAGTCCCAACCAAGTTGAATGATTTTCCTCCACTCATAGTTTTCGTTACCTCAACAACAACAACAACAAACACTCCACCACTTCATTGACGAATATATTCATCACTAATTTCACGAACAAACGTGAACACTGCTTTTTTAATGGTTAAGAGCGTGGGAGAGTGGGGCCAACGTTTGTCCTTACTCTTTGGTTATTTCGGTAAAGTCACGTAGGTAAAAAAATAAATAAAACAGAATTGAAAACAACTCAATTAAATCACGACGTTTCGCAGACAACACACAAGCTTCCTTCATCCGAAACGTCGTGATTTAATTTAGTTGTTTTCAATTTTGTTTATTTTATTTATTTTTTATACCTACGTGACTTTACCGAAATAACCAAAGAGTATGGATCCTTGCAGTCAAGAAAACTTCAAATCTAGAATTAACGTTTGTCCTCTTCATGAGAAGGACGGAGCTTCCTCTCGGCAGCGAGTGGTGGCCCTTCCACCAACGGTGTGCGTGAGCGAGTACATTACAGGGCTGCGCCTTCGCCTTGCCGTCTTCGTGAATCTGCTGTTGATGGAGAGCAACGTCAGTAATTTTGACTTTGTAGAGGTAGTTGAATAACCAGTTGTGTCGGGAGTCTCTTACCTATTATAGTAACAACAACATGAATCGTGACACATGCCTCAATAACACTGCCTTATAAGGCGAACGTGTCTTCATTGTTATCATAAGCAGCTGCAATGTATGTACGTCGAGATTCTTTTGCACCGTACGTAGCCAACCGTTCTAATCGCGGGGGAAGGACAACAGACTAAGCACAAAAAGCAGTTCTATAGAAATTAGTTTACAATCTAAGATGAGTTCATAGTGCTGAAGCTCCCAGTGGCTTCCGGCTGTCGGAAGGAAGAGCGTTCTAGATGGCCGCAGAAGCTGTTGGTGATGATGATGTTGGTATGTTTGTATGTTTAACTTCTTTAGCACCGTACGTAGACAGCCGTGCTAATCAGAGGTGCGGGGGAAGGACAACAAACTAAAGACAAATATCAGATCTAAAGAAATGTTAATCTAGACGATGTTTTAAAAGCGAATAGCTCCCAGTGGCTTCCTAATATCGGAAAGGAGAACGTTCCAAACGGCCGCAGAGGCGCATCTGAAAGCGCCGCGCGATGATGATGATGATGACGATGATGACGACGATAATGATGATGATCACGACAATAATGATGGTGATGACGATGATGACGACGATGATGATGGTGATGATGACGATAATGATGGTAACGATGATGATGATGACGACGATGATGACGACGATGATGATGATGATGACGATGGTGACGATGATGACGACGATGATGATGGTGATGATGACGATGATGATGACGACGATTGTGATGATGATGGCGATGATGACGATGATGATGACGATGATGACGACGATGATGATGGTGATGATGACGACGATTATGGTGATGATGACGACGATGATGATGGTGATGATGACGACGATGATGATGATGATGACGACGGTCATGATGGTGATGATGACGATGATGATGATGGTGATGATGACGATGATGGTGATGATGATGACGACGATAATGATGACGATGATGATGACGATGATGACGACGATGATGATAACGATGATGACGACGATGATACTGGTGATGATGACGACGATGATGATGGTGATGATGAGGATGATGATGGTGATGACGACGATGATGATGGTGATGATGACGATGATGACGATGATGGTGATGATGACGACGATGATACTGGTGATGATGACGACGATGATGATGATGGTGATGATGACGATGATGATGATGACGACGATGATGATGGTGATGATGACGACGATTATGGTGATGATGACGATGATGATGACGACGATGATGATGATGGTGATGATGGTGATGATGACGTTGATGGTGATGATGATGATGGCGATGATGACGATGATGATGGCGATGATGACGATGATGATAGTGATGATGACGACGATGATGATGATGATGACGATGATGACGATGATGGTGATGATGACGATGATGACGACGATGATGACGATGATGACGACGATGATACTGGTGATGATGACGACAATGATGATGGTGATGATGACGACGATGATGATAGTGATGATGACGACGATGATGATGGTGATGATGACGATAATGATTACGATGATGGCGATGATGATGACGATGATGATGACGATGATGGTGATGACGATGATGATGACGGTGATGATGACGGTGATGATGATGACGACGATGATGACGACGGTGATGCTTTGACCACCACCGTCTTTGTTCGATAGCTGAGCCCAAAAGCCGCTGCTGTTGCGAGAACGAACCGGAGTTCGCGTGGTTGATGGGTGCATGCTCCTTCGACGAGAACAGCGAGGTATTGTGGTGGTGCATCTGTGGCAAGCACTTTGTGTGTAATGAATGCGACCTTATACAATGGGGGGGGCGGGGGGGGTGTGAGTGGAGAGGGGGAGAGTCTGTGCCTTATCCTTAGCTAATGTTCGTCAATAACGCTTCCTTAAAAGAACGATCACCCATTTCCCCTGGGACTTTCGGTAAAGTCACGTAGATAGGTTAAACGAAAATAACAAACAAAAACCTACGAAGCTTCGATCACAACACGAACAATCGTGTTGTGATCGAAGGGGAGGGGGAGGAGGAGGGGGTGGAGGAGGTGGAGGAGGAGGAAGGAGGGGGAAGGATGGGGTGGGGAGGAAGGAGGGGGATGGAGGGGGAGGAGGGAGGATAGGGGTGGGGGAAGGAGGGAGGATAGGGGTGGAGGAAGGGGGGGAGGAAGGAGGGGGAAGGATGGGGGGGGGGGAGGATGAGGGTGGGAGGGGCTAAGGAGGGGGGCTAGCAAGGCCCCTCCCCCGCTGTCTGTACACGCGGAAGCTGAGAGGCGGCCCATCCGCTTCGAGGAAGTCGGCAGTCGGAGAGCGCCGCTCGCGGGCCACCATCGCCCGGTCCGCGCCGCGGTTCCAGCCGCTCCTCCCTTCATCTTCCCTTCATCCTCCCTCTTCCTCCTGCTCCTTCCTCCGATGGTTCTCGTGCCCACGGAGGCTGAGAGTCAAACACAGGTACGCAAGCAGCAGCAGCAATAGCAGAAACAGTTCAGGCGAGAGCGACGTTTCGTTATCACGCCACCTTTAGAACACTCCGGGTGTAGGCACATCTCCGGCACCCACCCACCCACCCCGTCTCCACCACCCGATCTAGAATCGTGGGGGGCTTTTTGTTCTCAACACGCTCGGACTATTGGGGGGGGTGCTGTTTGTGTGTTTACGGTCGAGGTGCAATCCCTTTGGATTGCCGGCGGTGGTCGCGGGCTCAGTGCGGACTGCAGCTGGCCCGCATATTTACGTGCGGTGCCTTTCATCCATCCACGGCAGGGGCGGGGAAGCTTTTTTTATATCTGCCAAGGGCCATTTGGATATTTATAAAACGTCGTTCGCGGTGCCATGCAAAATTATCAACGTACAAATTAGCCTTGTTATAATCGGTCAAACATTTAATTAACTCGCCTCCCTAATGCGACGGGCTGGAACTGCTTATCTTTGGCGAGGCGTGTGATGGTGTTAGCTGGTATTGATGATGTTAGCTGGTATTGACGATGTTAGCTGGTATTGATGATGTTAGCTGGTATTGATGATGTTAGCTGGTATTGACGATGTTAGCTGGTATTGATGATGTTAGCTGGTATTGATGATGTTAGCTGGTATTGACGATGTTAGCTGGCTATTGACGATGTTAGCTGGTATTGATGATGTTAGCTGGTATTGATGTTAGCTGGTAATGATGTTAGCTGCTATTGACGATGTTAGCTGGTATTGACGATGTTAGCTGGTATTGATGATGTTAGCTGGTATTGATGATGTTAGCTGGTATTGATGATGTTAGCTGGTATTGATGATGTTAGCTGGTATTGATGATGTTAGCTGGTATTGACGATGTTAGTTGGTATTGATGATGTTAGCTGGTATTGATGATGTTAGCTGGTATTGACGATGTTAGCTGGTATTGACGATGTTAGCTGGTATTGACGATGTTAGCTGGTATTGACGATGTTAGCTGGTGTTGACGATGTTAGCTGGTATTGACGATGTTAGCTGGTATTGACGATGTTAGCTGGTATTGACGATGTTAGCTGGTATTGACGATATTAGCTGGTATTGACGATGTTAGCTGGTATTGATGATGTTAGCTGGTATTGATGATGTTAGCTGGTATTGATGATGTTAGCTGGTATTGACGATGTTAGCTGGTATTGATGATGTTAGCTGGTATTGATGATGTTAGCTAGTATTGATGATGTTAGCTGGTATTGATGATGTTAGCTGGTATTGACGATGTTAGCTGGTATTGACGATGTTAGCTGGTATTGATGATGTTAGCTGGTATTGATGATGTTAGCTGGTATTGACGATGTTAGCAGGTATTGATGATGTTAGCTGGTATTGATGATGTTAGCTGGTATTGATGATGTTAGCTGGTATTGATGATGTTAGCAGGTATTGATGATGTTAGCTGGTATTGATGATGTTAGCTGGTATTGATGATGTTAGCCGGCTATTGATGATGTTAGCTGGTATTGATGATGTTAGCTGGTATTGACGATGTTAGCTGGCTATTGACGATGTTAGCTGGCTATTGACGATGTTAGCTGGTATTGATGATGTTAGCTGGTATTGATGATGTTAGCTGGTATTGATGATGTTAGCTGGTATTGACGATGTTAGCTGGTATTGGTGATGTTAGCTGGTATTGACGATGTTAGCTGGTATTGATGATGTTAGCTGGTATTGACGATGTTAGCTGGTATTGGTGATGTTAGCTGGTATTGATGATGTTAGCTGGTATTGATGATGTTAGCTGGTATTGATGATGTTAGCTAGTATTGATGATGTTAGCTGGTATTGATGTTAGCTGGTATTGATGATGTTAGCTGGTATTGACGATGTTAGCTGGTATTGATGATGTTAGCTAGTATTGACGATGTTAGCTGGTATTGATGATGTTAGCCGGCTATTGATGATGGTAGCTGGTATTGATGATGTTAGCTGGTATTGATGATGCTAGCTGGTATTGATGATGCTAGCTGGTATTGACGATGTTAGCTGGTATTGGTGATGTTAGCTAGTATTGATGATGTTAGCTGGCTATTGACGATGTTAGCTGGTATTGATGATGTTAGCTGGTATTGATTATGTTAGCTGCTATTGATGATGTTAGCTGCTATTGATGATGTTAGCTAGTATTGACGATGTTAGCTGGTATTGATGTTAGCTGGTATTGACGATGTTAGCTGGTATTGATGATGTTAGCTGGTATTGACGATGTTAGCTGGTATTGCCGATGTTAGCTGCTATTGATGATGTTAGCTGGTATTGACGATGTTAGCTGGTATTGATGATGTTAGCTGGTATTGATGATGTTAGCTGGTATTGGTGATGTTAGCTGGTATTGACGATGTTAGCTTGTATTGATGATGTTAGCTAGTATTGATGATGTTAGCTAGTATTGACGATGTTAGCTGGTATTGACGATGTTAGCTGGTGTTGATGATGTTAGCTAGTATTGACGATGTTAGCTGGTATTGACGATGTTAACTGGTATTGATGATGTTAGCTGCTATTGATGATGTTAGCTGGTATTGACGATGTTAGCTGGTATTGACGATGTTAGCTGGTATTGACGATGTTTGCTGGTATTGACGATGTTAGCTGGTATTGACGATGTTAGCTCGCTATTGATGATGTTAGCTGGTATTGACGATATTAGCTGGTATTGACGATGTTAGCTGGTATTGACGATGTTAGCTGGTATTGATTATGTTAGCTTGTATTGATGATGTTAGCTGGTATTGGTGATGTTAGCTGGTATTGACGATGTTAGCTTGTATTGATGATGTTAGCTGGTATTGATGATGTTAGCTAGCTATTGACGATGTTAGCTGGTATTGATGATGTTAGCTGGTATTGACGATGTTAGCTGGCTATTGACGATGTTAGCTGGTATTGACGATGTTAGCTGGTATTGATGATGTTAGCTGGTATTGACGATGTTAGCTGATATTGATGATGTTAGCTGGCTATTGACGATGTTAGCTTGTATTGATGTTAGCTGGTATTGACGATGTTAGCTGGTATTGACGATGTTAGCTGGTATTGACGATGTTAGCTGGTATTGACAATGTTAGCTGGTATTGATTATGTTAGCTGGTATTGATGATGTTAGCTGGTATTGACGATGTTAGCTGGTATTGATGATGTTAGCTAGTATTGATGATGTTAGCTGGTATTGACGATGTTAGCTGGTATTGATGATGTTACCTAGTATTGACGATGTTAGCTGGCTATTGACGATGTTAGCTGGTATTGATGATGTTAGCTGGTATTGACGATGTTAGCTGGTATTGATGATGTTAGCTGGTATTGATGATGTTAGCTGGTATTGATGATGTTAGCTGGTATTGATGATGTTAGCTGGTATTGATGTTAGCTGGTATTGATGATGTTAGCTGCTATTGACGATGTTAGCTGGTATTGACGATGTTAGCTGGTATTGATGATGTTAGCTGGCTATTGACGATGTTAGCTGGTATTGATGATGTTAGCTGGTATTGATGATGTTAGCTGGTATTGACGATGTTAGCTGGTATTGACGATGTTAGCTGGTATTGATGATAGTTAGTTGGTATTGATGATGTTAGCTGGTATTGATGATGTTAGTTGGTATTGACGATGTTAGCTGGTATTGATGATGTTAGCTGGTATTGACGATGTTAGCTGGTATTGATGATGTTAGCTGGTGTTGATGATGTTAGCTGGTATTGACGATGTTAGCTGGTATTGACGATGTTAGCTGGTATTGATGATGTTAGCTGGTATTGATGATGTTAGCTGGTATTGACGATGTTAGCTGATATTGACGATGTTAGCTGGTATTGACGATGTTAGCTGGTATTGACGATGTTAGCTGGTATTGACGATGTTAGCTGGTATTGACGATGTTAGCTGGTATTGATGATGTTAGCTGGTATTGACGATGTTAGCTGGTATTGATGTTAGCTGGTATTGATGTTAGCTGGTATTGATGTTAGCTGGTATTGATGATGTTAGCTGGTATTGACGATGTTAGCTGGTATTGATGATTTTAGCTGGTATTGACGATGTTAGCTGGTATTGATGATGTTAGCTAGTATTGATGTTAGCTGGTATTGATGATGTTAGCTGGTATTGATGATGTTAGCTGGTATTGATGATGTTAGCTGGTATTGACGATGTTAGCTGGTATTGACGATGTTAGCTGGTATTGATGATGTTAGCTGGTATTGATGATGTTAGCTAGTATTGATGATGTTAGCTGGTATTGATGATGTTAGCTGGTATTGACGATGTTAGCTGGTATTGACGATGTTAGCTGGTATTGATGATGTTAGCTAGTATTGACGATGTTAGCTGGTATTGATGATGTTAGCCGGCTATTGACGATGTTAGCTAGTATTGACGATGTTAGCTGGTATTGATGATGTTAGCTGGTATTGACGATATTAGCTGGTATTGACGATGTTAGCTGGTATTGACGATGTTAGCTGGTATTGATGATGTTAGCTGGTATTGATGATGTTAGCTGGTATTGATGATGTTAGCTGGTATTGATGATGTTAGCCGGCTATTGACGATGTTGCTGCTACTCGCAACTGCTTTTTCCAGATTTGCTCTCCTAGATTTGTTGAGTTTCGAGTCCCGCCTGCGGGTTGCCTTGGCAGGGCCAGAGACCCAAATGATTTCGTGGGGGCCTCATACGGCCCGCGGGCCTCATACGGCCCCCCACCCCTGATCCAAGGGGACGCTCTCTACCCAGGGGGGGTTGTTACACAATGAGGGTAGCTAAAGAGCGATGAGGTGAATAATGGGGGGGGGGGGGGGGACGGGGGGGTGGTACGGAGAGGGAGGTGAGTGGATATGGGGCATTACGGCGGGGGGGGGGGGGGCTGTAGGGAAGGAATGGGGGGCCAGGGGGGAGAGAGATTTGGGGGGGGGGGGGTCTTGAGTGAGGAGCGGAGACTCGACAGGTA